TGTTCACATTATATGCTAGAATAAGGTGATTGTTAGAGGTAGTTAAAGTAATTGTAGTGTATTGTTCACATTATATGCTAGAATAAGGTGATTGTTAGAGGTAGTTAAAGTAATTGTAGTGTATTGTTCACATTATATGCTAGAATAAGGTGATTGTTAGAGGTAGTTAAAGTAATTGTAGTGTATTGTTCACATTATATGCTAGAATAAGATGATTGTTAGAGGTAGTTAAAGTAATTGTAGTGTATTGTTCACATTATATGCTAGAATAAGATGATTGTTAGAGGTAGTTAAAGTAATTGTAGTGTATTGTTCACATTATATGCTAGAATAAGATGATTGTTAGAGGTAGTTAAAGTAATTGTAGTGTATTGTTCACATTATATGCTAGAATAAGATGATTGTTAGAGGTAGTTAAAGTAATTGTAGTGTATTGTGCCAAAGCAGACAAGACTTGAATAATGCTAGTTGAATAATTGTAGCTTTTATTTTTTGCTATGCAGTAATTTTATAATTACAAAATTTTCTTTTATGTTTTAGTATAAAGATGTATGTTGTGTTTTTTTGAAGTAAAATAGATTTAAATTGAAATAATACCACTGAGTGAGGTATACAGTGTATTACTAAATGCAATATTAAACTTGTTTTTTTTTTCTTTTCACTCAAAACCATATGTATACTTAGAAAATTTTACCATAAACACACGTTTAATTATGTATGAGTCTAAGTGAACTGATTTAATGTTTTTCAATATATATATGTTATTTTATCTTTTCTTGATGTGCATAGATATCCATTTGAGCCTCCTAAGGTGCAATTTATGACTCCAATTTATCATCCAAACATAGACAATGAAGGCAGAATTTGTCTGGATGCCTTACAGATGCCTCCAAAGGTGATTTGTTAGTTTTGTTTCACATGCTAAAGAATGTACTGAAATGTAGTATAATTTGCAAGAACAAGTGTTTGTTGAGAGAATAGTCTTCTATTCTTAAAACCTACATGGTTTATTAACCCTATCTGCACGGGCATCTTTACTGCGCGTGTCATGAGGTATTTAGTGACTTACCTAGTGAATTAGTTGATTATGCCTATATCTGAAAATGAAATTTGTAAATATTAGAAACAAACAAAGAAATTAAGTTACTGACTAAGATCATAATAAATGTTACTGCAGCCTAGTTTAGAAATTTTTAAGGGTGCTTGTAGCAATGCAGTTTATGTGGTACATGTTGGATGAATCTGAGGAGCTTATTAATAAGTATAAAACATTGATAAGGGCATTTAAGCAAAGGGGTCTTAGCTTGATTTTGTCAGGGATACTGCCTAGAATAAATTGTGGGAATGAGATACTAAGTAGGTCACTAGGATTTAATGCCAGGCTTAGATTAATATGTAGGGATGATCAAATAGGCTGGTTAGATTTGTGGGATAATTTTATTTCGAAAATTAATCTCTTTGGAATGTATGGCTTATAATTAAACAAGGCATGGCGAGGATGTTAACAAGGGCTATTAAATCAGCTGTAGTGCTAGGTTTAAACTAGGGCTAGACAGAGATAAGGGCTATGATATTAGTAAAATAGGAAATATAATCAACAGGAAAACATGTACAACAGGCATAAAACATGAACACATTTTAAAATCTATGATTAATTGTTACTGTTGTAATGCTAGGAATATTAGAAATAAAATTGAGTTCAAAGTAGTTGGGGAAATTGAGGATTTTGATATTATGGGTATCATTGAGACTTCATTGGATTTGAACAATTTTGATGAAATTTTTTTTAAATACTAGGTTACAGATTTACTAGAGATAAAGTATTGAAAAAAGTGGGAGGAGTAGCTTTATATGTGAGGAGTGAATTGCATCCTATTAAAGGAAAATAGCACTGATATTGAGTCAGTTTAGGTTAATGTTAGTGGATATATAGGGAAAGTCTTGTAATTGTGACTTGTTATAGACCACCAGGCCAGAATGTGAAAGTGAATGAGACACTGTATAATAAGATCAGAATGGTAGCTGCAAAAGATGTTATTATGGGAGATTTTAATTTGGGGGTATTGATTGGGAAAATTGAGTCTGACAGTGAGGGGGATAGGTTTTTGGAAATTGTTCAGGATTCTTTTATACACCAACTGATGATGGAACCTACAAGAGAGGAAACAATATTAGATTTCATATTACCGCCTGGTGTGAATATGATAGACAGAGTTGTGGTTGGTGAGCATTTAAATACAAACAACCATTGCACTGCAAGGTTTGGGATATTACTACATGTAGAATTGAAGAAGAAGAATAGTATCCTGATTCCAAACTTCAGGAAAGCCAATTTTGATGAAATGAGACATGATCTGGCTTCTGTAGATTGAACTAAATAGTTGGAAGAGGATCTTGAACAGATGTAGGAAGCATTTAGGGAAAAATTGATATGCATACAGAACATACATGTTCCCTTCAGACAAAAAAAAAAGAGCAATGGAGTGGAATAAGCCAGTATGGTTTAGTAGAGGTTTAAGAGATCATATTAGGGATAAACATAATAAATTCAAGAAATTTAAACTTACTGGAAATAAGAAGGACTTGGAAGACTATAGGAAACCAAGAAAGCTGGTTAAAAAAGGAAGTTAAAAGGGCAAAACTGTATATGAAAGATTGTTGACTGTGAGAGTTATATCAAACAATAAGGAATTATTTAGGTATATGATAGTGGGGTGCTGATATCAGAAGATTATGAGATGGGGGGGTGAATGTTATTAAATTGTATAGAAAATTGGCTGGAGAGTAGAAAGCAGAGATTAGTAAGAAATGGATTTAGATCTAACTAAATCACAGTTACAAGCGATGTGCCTCATGGCTCTGTGCTGGGTCCTCCGCTGTTTGTGATTTATATTAATGGTATTGACTTTGGAATGACTAACAAAAGTTTGCAGGTGACATTAAGCTTTTTGGGGTGGCTAAATATCAAGGATGCTGGAGATTTAGATCCTTTGATGCATTGTTTAATTATCAAAAATGTAAGGTGATGCATGTATGTTTCACATTTCAAATTATTTTTACAAATTAAATGGAATACATTGAATACTATGGTTCAAGAAAAATATCTTGGTGTTGTGATAGAAAAAATCACTTAACCCTATTGCCACAGGTATCTTTTACTGGGCATGACAGAGTTTTTGTGTTTTAAATTCAAAATTTTATTAAACTACTTTTTGTTTATGTTATATTAATTAGTTTAGCATAAAATGTTAGCTAATAATCTCTATTTTAATACTATATAAGTTTTAAGTTATTAATTTTATGAGGCAATAAATAAAACTCATAAATTTTCCCTAGTGTGATCCTTGTAAAACATTTTCTCTTAGCATGTCATGTACCCCATTTTATCCACCACCCCTCGAAAAAGTAAGAAATTAAACATAAATTACTCTCTATAAAATTTTCATTGTTTGGATAAACCATAATTTTAAGTATTTAACTTTGTTTGGTTATAGACCTATCGAATAGAAAATCAGACCTCTCCTGCCACACCTATCTCTTTCAGAATTCGTTAATAGTTCTGTCTTATCTTTAATTTATATTACCCATAACCAATAGACAGTCAAGGTTTGTATCTGTCAAATGATGTATAAGGTTGTGTTCTCAATGGTTAAATGTCAATTTCACTCAGAGTACCAACATCGTTTCTATGGTTAAGTTAACGACTAGCTTGGACGAATTTGTAATGGCTCTTGTTGCATAGTTAGAAAGCCAGAAAATGTTGAGAGGTAAGGGAATTTGTTTACTTTTGTATGTTATTAGTCTATATTCTTTGGTGCATTATTTAATTAATAAAAACTATTAAGTGCATTACTGCCATTAGTATAAACAAATTAGGGTTAACTCTCTTTGTCAATTGACAGCAACAAAAAAGAAGATTGGTTAAGTATTTTATTTATTGTTTTTCATGTTTATTTGGTATGCATAATTATACAAGTAACTAAAATGTAAAATAGGAATCCTTTTAGGTTTGTTAAGATTAGGTAAAATAAATAACAGTAATATAATATAAATGCTTCATGAGTCACACATGCGAGCAGCTCGTGGGTAATGTAATTCATTAGCGTAACATTACATTAGCATTACAACTTATATTTAGTAGCTCATGGTGAATGTAATCCATTAGCGTAATGTGAGCTACACATTCCCCAAGTGATTTACAAGTTATAATGACGTGAATAGTAGTTAGACACGGTTCAAAGGGCAATGAAACAATACAACTTAATTATAAATAGATGTATACTGTTACAAACTTAGAGCTACTTAGGACAAATAAATGTAGTTTCATGTTACAATTTGAAGTCATTCTAGAAGGTAAAAATGGATAATTATGGTGGTTGTAGTTAGGAACTAGAAGGAACATCCTTGATGAGCTAATAAACTTTTTTTTTGTCCCTTTAAAATTTATTAATTTATTTATAAAAGGAAAGATTAAACATTTATCATTTCTTCAATATAACCTTTAACTACATAAATAAATGTGGATGCAACAGATATTATTAATATTGTTTAATTTTTTATTAGAAGTTATAATGAAGTGAATACTTAGACCTTCAATTGGTTATTAGGTTATGAATACTAAAGTATTATTACTCCTTTTTTTTAGGAAAAGTATATCATGATTATTGAATACTAGTTGGCTTGTTGGAACTTACATTGAGATATTTAATTTCGTTTTTAATAGGGTTATTTTCCCATTGAATTTTGCAGATTAGATATTTAAGAATTATTTTATTTGACAAAATAAGTTTTGAACAAATTTAAAATTGTTTATTAAAGTCTGAAAACAGAGGGCATACTTGAATCTTCAACTTGCACAACAACACATACAGATTTTTATCACTGGCCCATGCTAACTTTTTTCCTAGGAGGTTAGGGATTTTTCATATATGGTTAATGGTGTAACAGGCCAGTAAAAACACCATATGGGAAAAATACAGTTTTCAGATTCAGGTAATAAAACTACAATGATGAAACATTATTATATTTTGTTAGCTGAATTCTCAATCTTTTCTGGATTTAGGTTAAGCCTTTAACGACCAGATCCTTACATTGTAGGGATCTAACATCACTATCATTATATTTTGTTCCAAAAATAAAACTAATTGATTAAATTGTTCGAAATTTGACAAGAACATTTCTAAGAGTATGTAGTTTCAGAAAAATATTTAATTTTGATTTTTTTCTACTATTTGTAATAAAAATTTGTTATTTAATGTATTTATTTGCACTCGAACTCTGAATAGTTCACATGCAAGGTGATTTTCATTTTGAGTATCAAATTACTATTTATTATCTTACAGGGTTAAGTGCCCATTTTCAGTATGGTATAAGAAGGTTTTGTATTGGAGTAATGCACTATCACCAAGTAAATTGTGTTTCATGGACAAGTGGAAGCTTTAAAGATAATGAGCTTTTCCGAAAAAACTCTGACATCATACAGTGATCCTGGTTACACACACAACTAATACACTAGAACCTCGACATTAAAGGCCACTTCTGACTGAATCTAAATACCTTCTATATCAAGTTGCCCTTAATATAAAAAGTGGCTATGCAAAGCTGGATTCTATATTGACCATACTAAGTTTATGCATTTTAAGGGCCCCCATCAGTCATAAAGTTTTGTTAGTCTCTTTCCATTTTGTATTTCACTTGAGTTTCTCTTGGGCACTGTCCTGAAGTTTCTACAGTGAAAGGTTTTTCTTCTGCACTTCCTCCAGCTCTTGTAAACCTACATTTGGGATGTCACTTTTCAAGATCTTAAGAAGCTTGATATCTTTCTTGCTCTTCTTTCCTTCAGCTCTTGTAGTGACTTCAAATGCCTCAGCAGTCTTCTTTCTGTCTAGTTCCTCCAAACTTCTACCACCTGGTATGCTCCCAATCACCAAGTCATATGTATTGGTGCCTTCACACACTTGGCCTCCAGGTCTCCCACATAGTATGGAGTGTCCGCCTGTATTCTTGCTATGGGGAAACATTCTCACTGTTCCAGTAATTAGCACACACAGGCATACCTTGCCTGTCTTCAGGTCATCAGATAGTAAACTGGTTCTCACTGCTGCACAACTGCATCCAGTGTCTCGTAGGACCTTCACTTTCTTATTCTTGACATAGCCTTCACCTACTGGCATGTTGTGATTTGCTGTCACCCTACAATGTTTGTCACATGCTCCAATCACTACCTTGTGGTAAATGTGATGAGTTGTCTCCATTCTGTATTCTCAGGCAGAAGCACCCATGGTGACAGTCGCTTATCTTTTGCTTCTTGTTAGCACCATCTTTATGTGTAGCTCTAGTTGTTTTATGTTGAGATTTCTGCTGCTGCTTATTAGTGACAGGCTGCACTTTCTTGCAGTATGCCACACTTTATAACAAGCGTAACATCTTTTTGCTTTCTGTTGAGATTTCTGCTGTTGCTTGCTGGTGACAGACTTGCACTCCCTCGAAATGTGCCCCATTTCATAACAAGCATAGCATCTCTTCTCCTTTCTGTCTGTTGATTTCTTGTTACCTTTTGTTGTATCCTGTTTCAGGTCAGCCATCCCTGGTTTCAGCTTTAATTGGTTATTTTTAGACTTTTCCGTTATACTTCCTCTATGGGCTTTCAAACACTGTTCTGCCAGCTTGATCATCTTGTCCACGTCTTTTGGTGCTCTCTCCTTTAGGAACAGTGATATGTCAGTTGAGCATGTGAGCATGAACTGTTCACATATTAGATCTGCCAGTCCATCAAACTATTTTCCCATGTCAGTCAATCTTGTGAAATATTGATTTAGAAGTGACACAAACTGAAATACAGTTTCTCAAGTGTTAGGTTTAACTTCTCTGAACTCGTAGCATTTCAGCAAGGCCACTTTTAACTTGTCATAGACACATCATACTTGCATACTTTTCCTGTGAGAAATGGGTTGAGACAGTGGGCTCTTGCCTTTTTTCCATTTTTGACTTTTGGCAAATATTTCATTGTCATTCTTGGGTCCTTCATTTTTCTGTTGGGTGAGCTTTGCCATCTTAATTTGTGCTCTTATACTCTCAATTTGCAGTTTCACCTCGATCTCCTTTTCATCTTTCTCAATTTGTGCTCTGATTCTCTCTCTTTCCAGTCTCTCTTTTCTCTCATTTTCTTCTTTTAAATTCTTCTCTTCTCTGCCTTTTCTCTCTCTCCAGTTCTTGTTGTTGTTTAACAAATTCTCGTAGTTCACTACCTTTTAACCCAAGGTGCTCGCATCTTTCAATACATTAATTAAAATCTGTTGACATGGTTATACAGCAGGTTTGTAATCTCTACACTATTTACACCACCACTACAATTGTGCATATATATAGGCCTACTTATTTCCACTGTTCTTCACATCATCTTCTACTGCCATTTACCACTGTACAATCCTGGCTGCATTGCCAAATGTTGAAGTTTTTATATGGGCCAGATTCTTTATAGTAGGTGTCTGTGGCTCATTGGCAAATAATTTGAACAATAAACAGACAGCACTCAATCCACTTGTTTTAAAATAATATATTCAAAACTAGTCAAACATATGTACAAACATTCTTTATACTATATGATATCACAGTTTTATTTAAAACTAAATAATTCTTTTTTCTTGTAAAAAGTCCACACAGGCTGATTCAATTACTTTAGAATCCTATTGACAAGACAAATTATTTTTACTATCTCTGTTGTCACAATACAGCTGTGAAACACACTATAGAAATCACCCATTAAGGCTAATCACTCGCATGCTGGCTGACTTCATCTTTTCTTTCACTAACATTTTTTTTTTCATTTGACTTGGGCTCACTTGGTCACCTATATATATATATACTACACACACACACACACACACACA